AAAAAGTTCCCTTGGCAGGGCTCGAACTCGGAACTGACCGCATTACTTGCTGTCGACTCTACTCAACAATTAAGTACTTATGATTAAAAAGAAACTAAAATAAAATTACAAAACAAGTAAGAGGTTCTAGTCGGGAGCTCCTGACTAAGGGATACCCTGAACCCTCTTATTCCAACACCAAATAAATTAATAAAAAAAAGTTCCCTTGGCAGGGCTCGAACTCGCAACTGACCGTATTACTTGCTGTCGACTCTACTCAACAGCCACACCAGCAAAAAAAAAAAAAAAACAGTAATAATACTTTCCCCGGTAGGACTCGAACTCGCGACAGACCGCACCACTTGATATGCCTCTACTCAACAGCCCCACTAACAATTAAGTACTTATGACAAAAAAAGGAACTTAAATAGCATTACAAAAAAAAGATGCAAAGATAGCATGGTAATGCTATTAGAATGCGAAGCAGACGCGCATGAATGTGTGTGTGTACATGTATACAGAAATTCTTAAAGTTGCTGCCCCATTCAATTGCGCAATTGCAAATAACTTTGGTTTTTCTTAACCGATCTTTATGAAATTTTCTACAGTATATCTTATTGTACCATAGAATATTTGTGTATTCTGAAAAAGTCAATTGCATTGAAATTGTGGTTTAAATTGGTTGGCAATAAAAGTTGGGTTATTAACTTGATTTATAGCTCTGTGGTGGTAGCGGGGAGGTGGCGATAGGTATGAAATGAAAGATACTTGAAATATCTTTAATATTCTAGAAGTAACATATCATGTTTGGTGGCCCTAGCTCTTATTATTTATCCAATTTGCTAAAAAAACAGGATGTCGATATCGATTTTTATCGATTGCTTGGAAACGGAGTAAGTTATCGTTCATCGGAAACAAACTCGATCTGCGCGGGAACTAGGAGCATATACATCTAAAATTTCAAGTCTCTAGCTCTTATAGGTTCTGAGATCCTTGCGTTCATACATACGGACGGACGGACAAACGGTCGGACAGACAGACGGACATGGCCAGATCGACTCGGCTATTGATGCTGATCAAGAATATATATACTTTATGGGGTCGAGGATGCTTCCTTATGCCTGTTACATACATTTGGATTTTGCACAAATACTTATACCCATTTTTTATGGGTTCAGGGTATAAAAAAAATGATTACTTAGATTTTGCAGTTTTTACACCAAGCCGTTGTCTCCCCCACACAATATGGGTTCGTAAAGTTTCACTCATGCACGACCAACCTGCATGAATTTACTTCGTTGGTAAATTATGCTTTCCTTTCTACGACGCAAACTGATGTCATTTACACCGTCTTCAGTAAGGCATTTGAGTCCGTGCACCATGACCTTTTACTGGTGAAGCTATTGAAGCTTAAAAGTCATGCTGAGGTTGATTGCCTCAATAGGTTAACTATACTTCTAGCAGTCATCGTAGACCTTTACTCTTTTTGTAAAAGATATAAATTCTGTTATATCACATGCTGCTGGTTCTTCTCCTTGCGATGTCACATATTCGGGGACCGAACTTGTGTCCACAGCATACCTCAGATTTCAGCCGCTATGTTATCAATGTTGAAGGTTGCGGGCCTTCAGTCGGGGACGGTAGGGCACTTGGCAACGTCACCTCACAAGGAAGCGACTTTTAAGGATTTTGACATTTTATCGTCATAAATCCAATTTGTGGGAGCCAGTAAGATTGAATAAATAAATTCTTGTTATTAAGTTTTATATACCCAGCAGCTGAAGGAGAGTATTATCTCTCGAGGCGGTCAGCCTCGTCTCGCTTGCACGCTTCGAGCATCTTTTCGTACCAGTTTCCATTTGCACCTGATGCACGATCCGTCAAGAAAAGACATCAAAGAATAAAAGTAGCAATCACGCCTTAGTTCCGTTAGATATTACAAGCGACAAATTCAGCTGGAGGTGCGTATTAGTTGCGTAGTTGCGAGAGCATATCGTGTACTTATTTTGTATTTAAATTTTCCAAGATAACATTTGTTAAGCTTTTTCTGTTGTTATTAAAATTGAAGGCAAACGTTTTTGGCTAAACAATACTCCCGATTGAGACGCGAACGTAATATAGTGATTGAAAAGATGATACCATGAGAGGCAGGTGGTACTGTTTAAAATAGATTCACATCTTACAGGGAGCGCTAGCAGATGCCACTTACCTCAGCTATCGGCCGGTTTGCATAAAACGTTCCTGAGCCCCATACTCACACCGTCTGAAGCGAAGTTGGCTTAACCAGAAGTTTGCGCCCGCCCCTTTGAATCGCTTCATGTATATCTGCTGCTCAAACTGAGTGAGTTGTTGTGTCGTGCATACCATACGTAAAGCATAGATGTGACACAAGGAAAAAAGAAGAGCAGTCCACAAAGGAATTTCCCATGAGTACCTAAAGGCATTATCAGCAACAGACAACTTTAAGACACCACATCAACTGCAACTTCGAGGGGCCCTACATATATCATAAAGTGAGAACGCCTATTATTAGCGAACGAATTATTTAATCGGGTTTATCACACCCAGAATGTTTGTGTACTTCTATTTCTTTAAATAATTAAACACTGCTCTGTTACACATTAATTAGGTTTGAATATGAATATAACATATGAAATTTATTTGTATAAAAATGTACCGATAAATTGTATAGTAAGGTCCGACGCCGGTACGATCTAATGCTAAAGTCAAACAATATGTTGAATTGAATAAAACATTAGTTAAGGGGTTACCAAGTTACCAAGGTGGGAAGGGTAACAAGTAAGAAGTTCTAGTCGGGAGCTCCCGACTAGGGGATACCCTGAACCCTCTTCTTCCAACATCAAATGAATATATATATTCTATAGCTTATATGTCAAGTTTGGTGCCTCTTGTTCTTATTATTTACCAAAATTGCTCAAAAACAGGATATCGATATCAAGTTTTATCGATTGCTTGGAAACGGAGTAAGTTATCGATTATCGGTAACAAACTCGATCGGCGCAGGCACTAGGAGCACCTACATCTAAGATTTAAAGTCTCTAGCTCTTATAGGTTCTGAGATCCTTGCGTTCATACATACGGACGGACGGACGGCAAGACGGACATGGCTAGATCGACTCGGCTATTGATGGTGATCAAGAATATATATACTTTATGGGGTCGGATATGCTTCCTTTTGCCTGTTACATACATTTGGATTTTGCACAAATACAGTATACCCTTATACCCATTTTTAATGGGTTCAGGGTATAAAAAAATGGGGATCGATGGCACCGTAGCTACTAGAATTCTCACGTTACAGTCCGCCGTTTTCAGTTACTTTTATTCTGTAAGTGGGTACAGCTCGAATACACAATATTGGTCCTTTATCCTTTTATAAACTGAACCCTGAACCCATTATAATACCCACTATTATAAGTCACAATTAAAATGCAACTGTCATTTTGAGAACACATAAATATTCTATAGCACAATAAGATCTAATGTAGAAAATTTTATCAAGATCGGTAAACAAACACAGAAACACTCGTATCAGCGGCAGCAAGCGCGAATCCAAGAATACATACACACATTCATGCTCAACAGCATAGCAATTGCGATTATATTTTTTACTGTGGTGCTATTTTAATCATTTTTTTCTTATAAAGACTCAGATATTGGTGTAGCTGTTATTTTTATTAATAGCAAAGCAAACGAGCGCGAGTTGCATTTGGTGTTGAAAGAAGAGGGTTCAGGGTATCCCATAGTCGGGAGCTCCCGCCTAGTATAGGAGTGATATCTAAAAGAGAAAGGAAAAGACCCACGACAAATCCGACGAGCATAGTTTAGAGCAACTCTAGAAGTTCACGTCCTCCGAATATCTTCACCCCTGCGGAAAATATCAACCGCAAAAAGCTAGTAACCCCTTGAATAGGGCATAATATCACTTATAAACCCTTCTGCATGTTGTTAGGTGGACCGACAGGATCTCCCGGTGGGCTTTGGTAATCCACAATGTTATCACAGACACCAACAAGCGGCTGATTGCAGAATATATATTTGAAAGTATGGGTTATTCAGCCGGCTAATGTACTTTTTATACCATGAACCCATTAAAAATGGGTATATTGTATTTGTGCAAAATCCAAATGTATGTAACAGGCAGAAGGAAGCATCTCTGACCCCATAAAGTATGTATATTCTTGATCAGCATCAATAGCTAAGTCGATCTAGCCATGTCCGTCTGTCTGTCCGTCCGTCCATCCGTCCGTCCGTCCGTCCATCCGTCCGTCTGTCCGTATGTATGAACGCAAGGATCTCAGAACCTATAAGAGACTTAAAATTTTAGATGTAGAGACTTGAAATTTTAGATGTAGATGCTCTAAGTTCCCGCGCAGATCGAGTTTGTTTCCGATAATCGAAAACTTGCTCCGTTTCCAAGCAATCGATAAAAATCGATATCCTGTTTTTTGGGCAATTTTGGTCAATAATTAGAGCTAGAGTCACCAAACTTGACATATAGCTTTTAAAATAGAATATATATATGCATTTGATGTTGGAAGAAGAGGGTTCAGGGTATCCCCTAGTCGGGAGCTCCCGACTAGAACCTCTTACTTGTTAGAATATATTCTTTCGTGCACAATATCAGAGCACGTAGGATTTGAAGCTTTAACACGCACAACTTGGCTTTAGGGGTTTTCTGAAAATCTCAAAAGCTCAGCTGTCTGAATTCTTAATAGCTATATGTACATTAATTACCTCACTCAAAGCTAAAAATTCATCAAATAATGCTAAAATAAATCAAAATTAAGTAGACGAGATGATTGCCAATTGCATTTAATATCCAGAAATACATATTGTTCACATTAAAATTTAATAAAAAGTTTGAACTGTATGCATCTTACCCAACAAACGTAAAAATAAAATTATGCATTTATTTTATACTCAGTTCCGCTGTTTTAACAAACCACCAGGTAAAAAGAATTAAACGTGTAGTTTTGAAAAATGATTTACGCTCTTACCTGTAAACGAAAATTGAACTGTTGTTTTCCATCGGAAATTTGCACATTCGCTGGGTTATACTTTCATGGATTACATCATCATTGTTGTGTATCTCTTCGACATTAAAATTGTGTACTGTCGGCCTTGTAGAAATAAGGTATCCTACAGCATTAAAATAAGGAACATCCTCGGGACTGTGAATGTACAACTTTTTTTTTGTTTTTACATTAATACATATTTAGTAATTTTTTTATAATATTATACATATCAAAATCAATAGGGCTCTAGACAGGCGTGGTAAACTAGGGGAAATCCCAAAGCTCAATCTTTGGCTTTGGATGCACAGGCTACGCTACCGCTGGGACTTTTCATATCATCGGTACTTAAAGTCCGATCCTTTTCTGTTTCAAGGGCATAAATAATTCACCAAGTGTGTGTAATAAGCAATATGACAAAAGAGTGAAGAACGGGAGGGGGCAAGGGAAGGCTTCGATAAGTCTTCAAAGCGTACACCCTATATTGCAAGCAAATCTACTAAAGACGAATTAATATTTTAATTTAATTTCGCCACTCCTCGTGAAATATCATCTTTCAAATAAATGTGTCTCATGATTCGTTCCCAATCATCTGTGATCAAAAATTTTAGCTCCGCACTGATTGTTCACGAGCTAAAGGCTAACAAGTAAGAGGTTCTAGTCGAGAGCTCCCGACTGGGGGATACCCTTAACCCTCTTCTTCCAACACCAAATGCAAATATATATACTATTCTAGAAGCTACATGTCAAGTTTAGTGATATGAATTATTTACCATTTTCTTTATTTATTTATTTTTTATTTATTACAAATTTTTTATTTTGTGTCTCTGGCGCTTTGAACGTCTAAATGGGAATCATTGGGCTACATCGCATTGGGAGCTATAATCATTTATCGACTTCATATCCGTTGAACTAACAATCCTTTTCTAAAATTATTAATTTCGTAAGGTTGATCATAACTTCCGATTTGAGCTGTGAACCGAACAAATCCCATTCAAATCATCGATAGGGGTTGGCTATGGGCATGGATTAATTAAATATGAATGCATTGCACTCGTTATTTATAGTATTATTGAAGATAAGTATTGGTTTATAACGTTGGCTTAAATATCATTTTTTATAATATTGACTTATTTCAAGTATCCAATTTACTTACAGTATTTATATAACTTAACGTAGCATACTTAATAAAACAATAATAAAAGAAAAGAAAGCACGCCGAAGATCTAATATCCCTGCAGACCCAACCTTTTCATAATGCTCATTGTGCTTTGCCCATAACTAAGAAGCACAGGGAAAATATTCAATGCCGAGTTTGGTAAAGATATCTTGATAAGAAAAAAGGTCTTTAATCAAAAACCTATGGCGCATATATATGATATAGAAGTCCGATGTAAATAACATTTTGCAAATGAAGTGAGCAAAGTCAAATCTTTAAATGCCGTGCTTAATCAAAATATCTTGAATGACAAAAAAGTTTTCCATACAACAACTTAATTTTCAACAGCTCGTGCCTATGGCAGCTTTATGATATAGTGGTCCTATCTTATAGGATTTTGCATATATATGAGGAGCATAGTAAAACTAATAAATGCCGAGTTTGATCAAAATATCTTGATAAACAAGTATTTTTTTATACAACTTATATTTCGACCAATCGTTCCTATGGCAGCTATATGATATAGTGGTCCGATCCAGCTAGTTTTGACGTATGTGCTGCGTGCAACAGAAAGAGGGACCTGCAGAGGGGGACTAGTTCGCATAGAAACAGACAGACGGACAGACGGACATTGCTATATCGACCTGGCTGTTGATGCTGATCAAGATTATATATACTTTATGGGGTCGAAGATGTCTCCTTCTATGCGTTTACTATATTAGCGAAATTTGGAATAAATTTCCTATAGAAACCACATAATCCTAGAAATGATTTAATTTCTTTTGGGGTTTCTGGAATTGGGAATTTGACAATTGCTTGTATTTTGTTTGAATTTGGTTTTATACCCTAGGTTGTGATGATGTGACCGAGAGTTTCTTTTCTCAAAAACTCGCATTTATCCAACTTTAGTTTTAAGTTAGCTTCTCTAAGCTTCTCAAATACTGTTTGTAGCGACAAAATGAGTTCCTTCAATGAAGTGGAAACAAGAAAGAGGTTCTAGTCGGGAGCTCCCGACTAGGGAATACCCTGAACCCTCTTATTCCAGCACCGAATAAATTAAAAAATAAATAGTGTGTGTGTGTACATGTATACAGAAATTCTTAAAGCTGCTGCCCCATTCAATTGAGCTGTTGCATATAACTTTAGTTTTTCATAGCCGATCTTTATGTAATTTTCTACAGTATATCTTATTGTACCATAGAATATTTGTGTATTCTGAAAAAAAGTCAATTGCATTTAAATCGTGTTTAAAATTGGTTGGCAATAAAAGTTGGATTATTAACTTGATTTATAGCTCTGTGGTGGTAGCGGGGAGGTGGCGATAGGTATGAAATGAATGACATCTATAATATTCTAGAAGCAACATATCATGTTTGGTGGCTCTAGCTCTTATTATTTGCCTAATTTGCTAAAAAAAACAGGATGTCGATATCAATTTTTATCGATTGCTTGGAAACGGAGTAAGTTATCGATTATCGGAAACAAACTCGATCGGCGCTGGCACTAGGAGCACCTACATCTAAAATTTCAAGTCTCTAGCTCTTATAGGTTCTGAGATCCTTGCGTTCATACATACGGACGGACGGACGGACGGAGAGACAGACGGACATGGCTAGATCGACTCGGCTATTGATGCTGATCGAGAATATATATACTTTTTGGGGTCGGTGATGCTTCCTTCTGCCTGTTACATTTGCATTTTGCACACATACAATATACCCTTATACCCATTTTCAATGGGTTCAGGGTATAAAAATAATACTGCCGTCTAAGTAGTATTCAATCCCTAAAAATTAAATCTTATAAGAGATTGTTCATACAACGTTGGGACGTTGCAGGTGCATTCTTAAGACCAAATGGCATGCGAGTGTACTCGTTATGGCCTTGTTTAGTCGGAAATGCGGTCTTGGGCATTGAACCAGGATCCATTTGGATTTGGTGGAAGCCTTTGGCTAGATCAAAGGTTGTGAAATATTGACATTTTCCAAGTTTGTGTAATATTTCATCCATGATCGCGATAGGGTATTTATCATTAATAGTTAATTCATTGAGATTACGGTAATCTATGACTAACTGGAACTTTTGCTTTCCAGATGCATCGTTTTTCTTTGGAACGTTTATTACTGGTGAACAGTAAGGGGATTTGGATTTACGTATGCTATTTTGTTTTATCATAACGCTTCTTTGTTTATTTACTTCCTAATCGTATATTTGAGGATATTTGTATGGACGCTTGTAAATTGGGTCCTCATGCTTTGTTAAAATATTGTGATTAATTGTACTAGTGAAAGTCAAATTGTCACCTTCATGGTACTGGATATCACGATATCCATGTACAACTTTTTTAATTTTTTCTTTTTCTTCTGAGCTTAGGTGCTCAAGCCTAAACTCATTGTTTTCTATTAATTCGTTATTAATAGCGAAGTTAAATGGTCTGTCCTCTGTTGAGGGTGGATGGTCATGTGGTCATGTCCTCTTCGTCATTATATCTAAAACAAAAGTTAAATTCTCCTAAGGTTACGGATACTTGTGCATAGTCGATGACATGCTTCAAGGTATTCTCTCCCAATCAGAACATCATAATGCTCTGAGAAGTCGTGAATATAAAATTTACTCGGACAAATTTTGATTGCTCCTAATCGTATGCTTTGTTTTAATTCGATAACACCATTTATGGTGTGAACCTTTAATGTTTCGTTGTAAACTGGAAAATTTAAGCGGTTTGTTTTCATTAGATTTATGGTTGAACCTGTGTCAATGACACATTTTAGAACTTCGTCATTCATAATCAATTTTATGAATGGATTTCTTCTGTTTGTTCCGAGGCTTGCTGACGAACATTTTCGGATGTATCCATTTTCATCTGCCCACTGTTACTATCTCTTTGACGTTTAGTCGGAGGGTTTGGCGCATTCAAGCGTGAATGGGACTGATTTTGATAATTTGAGGTATTCTGGGATCTACCTTGACTTAATTTCTGTTGGAACTCGTGGTGAGCTTTCTGATTGTCTTCTGAATTATTATGCTGTTTATTATGTACGTGGTAACTGTGATTCGTGTTGGAATAGCCAATTGAGGTGGTGGTTGGGTTAGCATTTTGCTGATAATTTCCCATGTTCCTACGATTGTTATTTTGATTTCCCTGAACATTACTAGTTTAAGGTTTATCAGTTACACTATTTTCATATAATCTCTCTCTTTGAGCTACTTGCTTTAATTTTTGTGTCGACGTAATGAAAAGCCTATCTGGTAATTTTTTCTAATTACATCTTTGATTGTGTTATTCATGGCATTTGTGTAAATTGTTGTATTGCTAGATATATTTGCTAACGATAACTTGTTTAATATAACATAAGATTTATTTTCAAGATTCCCTGGTAATTCGTGTTGTATGGGCGTCGAAGGAGTTCTTTAAATGGTGTTTGCACTTTACACTCTTTAATCAATGCGTTCCTGTCAAGTGTTGGCTGCTGAAACTCTTTGAGCATCTCCAGTGACTTGCAAATCTATGGATCCGTATAAGATGCTGTGTTGACTAACATCTCGGGTTGGATAAAGCGTTGGATAATGAAAGCGTTGAGGTTTTCCGTTGAACCGTCAAAACTTGGCACCTGTCTTAGTTGTGAAAGGGCCAAGTTGAGGTGTTGTTCTGATAATTCCATGGTCATCTTAGTGTAATACACTTTTATTTTTGTTTTGGATCATTTTTTTTTTTTTAGTTTGTAGTTTTGAACTTTTTAGTTCTTTGATTTTGCACTTTTATTCCTTTGCACTTTGTATATTTAATTTAGTTTATTGTTTGTGATTGATTATTGTTTTAATGTTTTTTTTTTTGTGTGTGTGCCTTAGTAGTAATATAGTATTGCAGTAATAACGTATTGCAGGGATCAAAGTATATGCAAAGCCAGGCGTTATTAACTGTAGTAGCTTTATTGTCCAAAGGGTCAATGTTATTAGACTACTAGTGACCGAAGGTTCTTGTGCGGATACGTATTCGAGAAAACATTTGTTACA